ACAAAGCAAATTACTGCAGGAGGATACTTGTTGAGATCCCTTTGTCTCATCGCACTTAATTAGGAGGTGAAATTCTGAGGGTCTTTTTTCCAAACCTCCTCTCCCCGAAGTGTCTAGACACTATTTTTTCAGACTAAGGAAGTATCTATACATCAACCTACTGCCACAATAGGAATACATTTTCAAATCCAGCCAGGCGATACTTAGCACATGCTAACTCTCTCCGTCAGTGGGAAATGCGTGTCTTTACCAGTGTCTTTCTATTATCTTGCAGGTGCCAGTGACCACGCAGTTATCCCCTAGGATTTCCTTCCCAGCCCTGGGACGGGTGATGCTGGCCTGACGGACTGAGTCCTCTTGTATGAAACTCTCTACCCGTTCATCTCTCTCAAAGTGAAAGGAGAGGCTGGAAGTGACAATTTAGCTGACTTCAGTTCATGGAGGGAAGGAAGGGGATTACTGTTATCTGTGGGCTCTCTCCCTCCTTTGTAACAGCACAATGAAAGTTTTCTTTTCTACAGAAAATGATAGCATAGAAAAAGAAATCAGTAATTTTAACTGTGCTCAGTTTTGCGTGCTTCATCATTTCCTTTAATGATTTTATTCTAAAAAGAGGCAGAAATGTAGTTGTAATTCCTTTTGACTGAAATCACACCCATACCTTAGGTATTCATTCTGAGGGAAGGTAAGTAATGAAATTAAATTACATACAATTATGTTTGATCTCTTTTGGATTAAGCAGCATGGTTTATCCCAGAAACTTCTTGTGGGGAGAAAAGTGCACAAACTACCTAAATAACTGGTTATGTTGGTGGTAGGCCCAAATTTTCTATGATGCCTCTTCCATTTGTTGTTTTGAGTGAATCTGGGTATAACTTAATATCTAAACACACAAAAGAACCGTTCTTTGAGGATACATCCAGCCAAAACGGTTGCCCCTTGTCCATTTTTTCAAATGCTTGGGCTTCTGTGGTCACAGACACTGGATACCACCCTAGTGAGAAATATTCCTGTCTCTTAGCAGGCCCATATTATCCGACACTCTGGGCTGGCTCTTGGACAGATGCAAAACCCCTGAGTGAGATGCTGGCCCCAGGGAAGTTCACAGACGTCTGCCATTGTCCTCAGCAGCATCACGGTTTCATTCTCTGCTGGTGCCCTTGGCTTGAGGACATCGTTCCACACCAGAACTGATGCCAGTAAAACTACTGCATTACATCACTTCATCATGCTGCTGATTTTTTTTATGTAGACAAGCCTTCTGCATTATACAAAGGATTTGCAATGTGTGGCCATAGCTCTGGCTGCTTTGCATAGGTAGGTGCATCTGCTGCAATCCAAGACCTAGTTCCTCCTTGGGGAAACCCCGAGTTGCTGCTTGCCACTTGTTGGGTGGCAAAACCATAATTTTGGACAGCTGTCTGAACAGCTTCTCTAGCTATTACTGGAATGAAGTTGTTGATAGTGTAGAAAAGTAAAGGGAGTGCTACAATTCATATACACAAGCTTTATTAGTCAGAGTGGTTGACAGCAAAGGTGGATTTGAGCACACGGTACTTCACAAATAAGTAAATGGAGCAAAACGGAACAAAAATTTGAGAATCTGAACATTTTGAGAAGATTAATGGATGTGCAACTGAACTTTACACAGAAACAGATCATGTAAGCATAGCTATGTTCATGTTAGGAACTTTTCTGAAAAGCAAACAAATGAGTAAAATCACATTGAAGAGCTAAGTCCTGAAACCGGTATTCACCCTTTCTCCACATGTCCTCAGAATCAGCTGAAGCTGACAGCGGTGAGAGAGACAAATGCCCTGGTACTCTCAAAACTAAATTTCCTCTTTGGAATTAAACCATAGGTTCAAACACTCAGATTTTTAAGCTGCAAATCCTGGAGAACCCACTCAGAGAGGCTTGGTCACTGGTTTATTCTGAGGTTTTTGGCTAACAGACAATACATTGTGGTTCTTCTGTGCAGATCTCCATGTCTGTAAAAGGGCTTTGCAAACACGCAGCAGCTTGTCCATCTTTGCAACACACTGCGAGATCAAGACATAAATCTTACCCAAGAAAAATTTCCCATTTAGAAAGAGCAAATAAGAACCACATGACTTGCAGTACATCTCAAGCCCATGGAGATCATTTCCTTGATTTCAGTAAACTTTGGCTCTGGGCCATAGAGTGGGGTCCTGAGGGACATTGAAGAAGCTGCATGTGAAAAAATTCCCCAGTTGCTTTTGCTAATCTGGAATTTACCTTTCCCTCCCCAGCTTTGGGCCTGCTCTGTAGCTGTTGTTGAAATCAAGGATGCAATTCTCAGTGGCTTCCATGGGAGCAGGCAGAGGAATTTCACAGGGGAAAGGATTCCACGTATAATGTCTAGCTTTACACTAGACTTTTCACCCAATGCCTTCAACTCTCTGCTGGAAATAGTCACTACATAGCATTTGCAGACTTGCACCGCGAGTTTCTCCCCCAGGCAGTGACACTTAGGAAATCACTTTGCCTGCAGAATTATTACGTACTACATGCTCTCCCTATTCCTCCATTTGGTGATAATGTCTTACACCAGTGCAAAGGGGAACAGTGAAGAAAGCCAAAAGATGCATGTGTGTGCTGGGGCAAGTGGGTGCCGGTGTCCCCTGGTACGTGCCCGGCGGACTGCGCTCGGTCTATGTCTCCGCACGGGCACCCTAATACACATGCCGTCTGATCCGGCCACCCAGTGGGAAGACATGTGGCACTTGGCTACTGCTGGGAACATGTCCTCTGAGGTCATATCTCTTCAGCGGCAGGGTGATGTCACCAGTCCCCCCTCCCCTGGGACCGGCGGGATGGATGGGCACATCCCCCGGCACTGCTGGGCAGGCAGGACTGCGGTCTGCATTTATGTACATACGAGTGGCCTCCAAAATTATTTGCAACACACAACCGAGGACAAAGAGGAGCCCATGAGTAGGAGGGGAGCGAGTGCCTGTGCACGCCCCCAGCCATGCTATGACTCCCCTTCTTCTCTGAAGCAGAAAAACAGGGCTGTTTCTGAGGGCAATGTGAGTGTTAGCTTGACCCAGTGCCTGTGCCCAGAGAAGAGATATATAACCTGAACCGGAATTAATGGCTTTTAAAATGTCCGTATGTTATGGGAACTTTAAAGAAATGTTGAAAGTAGTATTTCTTGACTTTGGAGTTATAGCTGGTGCTATGAAACACACTCTTTTCCCATATATTTAGCTGTCACTGAATGACATTTGATGTGAAAGGTGAGAACAGAAGGAAGATAATAATGTTTCACGGCTGCAGGATCCAATTTTAAGGAAGAGAATAACACTTTTGACTAGCTATATATTCACCGGTCTATGTAATTTAATGAAACATTATGTCCCCCTTTGGACTGCAGCACTGTGATTAGAGGATCAAAACCAGCAAATGCACCAAAGTGGCAATTGATATAACATGATCAATAAGGAGAAATTCAGCTGTCTAAGGCCTAAACTACTATGTCAAACCAGTGAAGTGCTAAGTTTAAGATCTAAGAGGTATTTCTTTAGCTCTTACAAATTAGGGGCCTAATTTCTTCATGCTTGCTTTAGCCATAGTCAGATGTATCTCCACTGATTTGTGCAGTGGTACAAATGAACATACACCTCATCCCTACCTCTTTACTTAAAATCATGCCGTGTGCTCTTAAAGCCCCTGTGCCTGGGGCAGAGGGGAGGACCCAGGCTCGCCCCGATGAGCCGGGCTATCAGGACAGTCACTCCTCTGCTGCTTGCTTGCCCTGCCAAGTCCTTGCTGGTCCCACAGCCCCGGTGCCAGCGCTGGCGCAATGGCTCCCAGCCCAGTGCCAGCGGGGCAGCGGGGCCAGCAGCCAGAGGCACGGCGGAGTAAGGAAGCCGGCAGAAAGCCGTTTGCTGGGGACCAATTTCCAGCACATTGCAGCTGCAGTCGGAGAAGCCGGGGCCGGCCAGGATGGGCAGCAGACCCATCCAGGCAGGATCGGGGAAGCTTTGCCGTGGGGCTGTCACTAGCTACGGGGGAGAGGAGAGAGGCTCTGGGGCAGCCCAGGGCCAGCCTCACCCTCCATGGGGCATTTGCTCACTGTCTCCTGGGTTTGCAGCTTGTGCAGAGGAAGACACGGAGCCTGTGTGTGCTTCTGCCCAGAGAAGCTGTGGCTGCCCCATCCCTGGAAGTGTTCAAGGCCAGGTTGGATGGGGCTGTGAGCAACCTGGTCTGGTGGGAGGTGTTCCTGCCCATGGTAGGGGGGGTTGGAACTGGGTGATCTTTAAAGTCTCTTCCAACCAAACGGTTCTGTGGTTCTGTGATTCTGGTGCTGGATGAGGCTCCTGGATTTAGAGTGACCTGCATTGTAACCACCGGCAGAACGATCCCCAAGCACTTTGTCCTGACTGAAGTTTGTAATTGCTGAGGCTAGGCCCTAGCAAGCCACCAGCTGCTTTCCAAAGAGCGTTTCCTCTCTGGGAAGGACAGCCCTGTCTGCTTTGCCACCAGCGTTCCCCCTGAGCTCTGTAAAGTGCATTTCCAGGGCTCCCTCACAGGACTGTTTCACATCCAGCAAAACTGCTCCCTGCGAGGAGTGTTCCAGGGGCAGGGAGACACAGAGCCGGTGTGTCCAAAAAGGGACTCAGGACTGTGTCTGGGAGGGGAAACCACAGCTGAGGGCAGGGAGGAGAGCAACTGTACCAAAGGGAGTACTGTTAGAGGGAAAGACCATGCTGAGCCTGGCAGTTTGAAGCTGTGAGAGACCAGGGTGCCGGTATGTAGAGCTCTGTACTGGCCGTAGGTTATCTCCTTGCAGAGTGCAGGTACCAACCTATTGGAAGTGGCCTAGAGGGAGATTCTGCCTTGATAGGAAATCACTCTCAGGTTACTCTTGATTAGCTTAAAGACAGCTACAAATACAGGCTTTGGAGCTCATCACGTGTTTTTTCTCGCTGTGGCACTCAGTGGGAAGCCCCAACAGGTCGCGTTTGCCTGCTCTAGGAGTCTGTGCGATAGCTCCGGCGGCCGTCCCCTATTAGCTGTGTCTTCTCATTTGCATTAGTCGGCTGAAGCACGATAGGAGTTTCTCCATCTAAATTGGGGAGGAGGACACAAAAATACTTTATGAATCCTTAACTTGCTACCAAAGTCAGGTTTCTTGTTAGCACCACAACATTTCTTCTGCTCTTCTGGCTACAGCTTAACATTGGCTTCACAGACAGCTGTGTGCATACTGAAAAGGCAGCAATGCCCACATCGAGTCTACAAATGCTCTCACTCCTTGTCCACCTGTAATGGCAGATTTCTGGGTGACTATCACTGTTGTTATTGAACTGGACATCAGCTGTACCTGGTGCTTTGCAGAGATTGCAGGATGAGTGTTCCTGCCTGTTCCAATTGCCAGTGCCTGTTCCTGCAAATGTCTGAATATAATGAGTGCTGTTGTGAGTCAGCAAGGACCAACCTTGACAGCATTTGTGAGAATGGGCCAGAAATGAGTCTTGAAGAACGCAAAGGAAGAGGAGAGTTAAAAGGAAAAAAAATGCGTGAGCAGTAATATACTTGAGAAGGAAGAAATCATGTATATCCTGAAAGCCAACTAGTTAAATAAAAATGTTAAATTGCGTTTTGAAGTCTTATGTAACATATACACACAATAGGATTTTGAGAATTACTGTTTTAATGAGTTTGGAACTGCCAAAACCTCATTTTATCACTATATATATTCTTACTGCTTTGTACATTCTCATTCCATGCTGTTATATGTTTGATTTCCTGATATGTCTGTAAAAAATGCATTTGTTGTGGAGTGGAGCAAAGTGAAGTCCTTACAGAGTTCCCTGATGGCTGTTGTGTTCCCTCTGATAATGAACAAGGTTTGGCTGCCCTTCTCCTGGGTCTCTTTCCAACCAACCATTTTTTGGCAGGGGGAGAAGGTGAGGTAAGACTCAGATGGTGACTTTTACAGGTTCAGCCATCTCAATGAAGTATGTTCATATGAAAAATTTTGGACTAACTATATCTTGATACCAGCATAGCCTTCAGTAATTGAATACAAATGATGACTTTTTTTTGCGAAATGACCAAATGTTCAGAAAAAAACTCATCTGACATTTCCTCCTGTTTACATGACTGTTGATGGGATGAATCATGGGCAAAAGATGTAATGTACAGGAGTAACTTAACCCAGAGCAAGAATCTAATTGCATGCCATACGGCTTCCCCTCAGTGGGGGTAGAACAACTTTGACTCTGTCAAGGTGAACAGCAAGAATGATTAAATGCCAAGCAGCTTCTCTGTATGGGCAATTCCATATTTAGACACAAGGTCAAAGACAGACATGTTTCATAACTTCTAAAAGTATATGAGTAATTAATGCTTAGAGCTCAGCTCAGGCTCAGATTATTTTGGCAGTTCCAATCCATTTTTAAATTGCGATGTATTTTCTAGATTTCTGAGCAGCACTCCCTCCCACCCTCTGCTTCCTCCAAGTTGTTCATTTTAAGGAAGATAGCTGATGGAAGACAAAGACTAGCAGTTCGTTTTGCTGTGATACCCAGATGTGCAACAAGAGAACAGGACCCACTGCAAATACGGTGCATTGCTTCCAGATGTTCTGCAGACAGTTCTGAGCTGACACCTTCACCAAGCATTTTGCTGCCTGTACCCTTCTAAGATTTATGGTGGGTTTTTATCAGAACAGGGACCCATGGTATAACAAACTGTACAAATATAGCCTGCTAATGGAGGGCTGCAGAATGGAGGTGCGGCAGAATTCACAGTTTAAATTGCTTTCTATAGATAGCTCTTGCTCACTGTTCGCCTACATTGGTATCATATGGAGTGTGGAGGAGACAATGAAGTGCTAAAAACTTATTGCTTCTGAGTTGGGAAAGTATTTTGTTATTCAGATTCTTTTTTCTTTTTCTTTTTTTTTTTTCTCTCCCAGATTTCATTTTCTGTAAAACGAAAGTTGGTCTGGAAATGCCTTGCTTTGTTCTTACAATGATAACCAAACAGGAGAGGACAACAAACCTACCGAACTGCTTGGAGTGCATCACTACAGCCTGAAGTACCAAGACAATCCAAATTCCAATGGCACCTCCTCTGGGACCACAAAAGTCAACAAAAGGTTTGCAATCAACTTCAGTGGAAGCAAAATCTGGCAACTTGCCCCATGTGTGTGAGTGAAAGCTATGAACTGTTGCACGTGTCCGTGCTGAAGACGAGCGAGTGATACTTCCCTCTGCCAGTGTTTTCGCAGGTCACCCATAATATCATGGTGTGATACCACAGATTACCCTGCTTTACGCTTTTTTAATGTCATGTTTGATCTGAAACCCTAAAATCTGTCATGTTTAAAATGTAATAATCCACATATAAGATTTATTTTTTGGTCTTCTATTGCACATTAGGCCACAGCCCTCTGTGGTACAAATCAATAGTCATGAGAAGAAATCACTGTAACCTAAGCACAGGCCGGGGGTTGCAAATCTCTAAGTTCCTTTAGTTCTGATGGTCATGCTACCCATGGAAGTATACGCTGTAAAACAAATCTCTCACAGGAGATATTCAACTAGCTGAGCGCTAGAACTAGTCAAATACATTTCAATAAAACTTCCATCTAGAGGAAGACCCCATTTGAACAGAATTGAAGCCTTTGACTTGATTGTGTTGATTTCAGTGACAACTCACTTTGCTTTTACATTTTAGGGAACGAGTTTTTGACCTCACATCTCCTTTTTTCACTAATAATTGTGTTTTATCGTATGGTAATTTGAGGAATAAAATCAACTGTGTAAGACCTTAATTTTGTTAAGGAGAAATGTGAGGGGCACTGAAAATTATTACTGTTGTGCCAATTTGAAAGATGAAGTCTAAATCTGGGCTCCCACAACACACATATTGCCTCTTTTGTGAAGTACAGCCGGCTCCAAGCAGCTCTCACTGAGCACAGCAACAACTGCTGGAGACTCGCTCTCAGAGTTTTTTAGCGTGAGGAATGGTGACGTTTCATTGATATTACATTCCTCAGAAAAGCAATGACTGACTGCAAAATATCTGGATAAATTAAAGTATGGTCTTAGCTTGAGAGTCTACATTTTGACCTTAGCAAAAAAGTTCTGGCTAGCAATAATATAGATACTGGGGACAGCAGGAAGCAAATAAATTAATTACCAGATAGAATGCTCAGTCTGTGGGCAGAGGGCATGCAAAGAATTTGGATCCTAATAGGATTTCCTCTTCCAAAATGAAATCTGCTGCAGGAGTGATTACAGTTCATTTCTGAATTACCTACAGGAGCATTTCTATTATTTACATAAAGGAGGGCATGAGTATTCGTTTCTATGGCCCAACATTTGAAAATGTCTGGTGGAAAAGCCCAATCTTTGCCATTCAAGTCAGCTGCATCTTTTTGGCCAGCATTCCTAAAATTTGGGGAGGGAGGGAGAAAGTGCAGTTTGAGCTGGTTATCATTCATTTTTCTAATGTGTCTGTTTTCCTTTCAGCTGCAGAAAAGATGCTTACATTATCCTCGGTCATGAAGTTTTCACTTTTATTCCCAATATGTTGCTCTCTTTTAATCTAAATTTAAAATATAGAGAATTGTACTCTACTGAGGCAAGCTGGTTTTGATTGACAGGAAAACGTAGCAAGACTGAAGAGAAAGGCAGGAAAGGTGCAAATATCTAGTTTTCTTCAGGCTCTACCTATTTACTTAATATTGTCTTTGAAATACTTAAAACAGGTAGTTCCACATTCTGCTAATTTTCCAGACCAGTACTTTGCTAAGACATTTTAAATTATTTTTAAAAATTGGTATCTCAGTAAGATTTGATGGGAGTAAAGAGATGGGAAGGTGGCCTAAAATTACTGAATATGAATAAATACCACCTGTGCCAGAAGGAGGGAGAAATTTTTTTTCTGCCACTGGGGAATTTTGTGCTGGGTTTTGAGAGCAAAATACCTTCCAAATTGCAAAAAAGGCAGAATTAAAAAATTCTTATCCTTCAAAGTTCCATCTTCATGTTTCAAACTTGGCTTTGGTGTCATAGCCCCATAAATATCAAGACACATTTTAGATTTGCACTTTTCAGGTACCTAATGTCATAGAGTATATTGCATTTATTTCAAATAATGCATTGTGGTTATAAAGTTTTCACTAATGGTTTTTGTTGCCTTTGCAAGTGTGATCAAATTTTAAGCTGACTGTATTTACCTTGATACGCCTCTAGGCAAAACCAATTTAAAACCACCACCACATGTTGGCATACCAGTTATATAAATAGCATTTGTTTCAACTACTGTAAGTGTTTGTTACATATTTATGGAAGGGTAAACTTGTGTGAAAAATTGGGGGGGAAAAAAATTTCTTCCTGCTAAGAGAACGTGATATTTGCAATCTGGCAGTGCTAATTTAAGCACAATAAACGTAAGAATATAACAGCGTAAGACCTTCCATCACAATGGATGAGAAAAAGAGTGAGCTGACTGCGTAGGTCCTTCCTCATAAAAAAAGCATAATCCTAATCATAGTTTATATAAATTTGCAACTGAAAAGTGGCCTAGGTCTTCCCCTGATACCTTGGCCTCTTATTGCTGGAGCAAGGGTCATTGCCTCTCTCGGCCTGTCCTGCAAGTGTCCAAATCTAACCAGTTCGGGGTGTTTCTGCGCCCCTGAAGATGAAGGCAAAACCCCGCCCTATTTCACAGATTAAAACAGGGCTCTTTGTTCACAATATGTAACCCACGCTAATGCCAAATTGGGAAATCGCCACCACCAACCTTTCTATAGGCAAAACCTGAGTGTGCAGCCGGGGGATGCAGCAAAGCTGAGAAAAGAGGGTGACCTTCTGTGAAGGGGGTCCTGCTGCCCCAGCCCGTGTTCCCGGCCGGGGGCTCTTGGTCCCTTCTTTGAGCTGGCATTAGTACTTGGCCTGCTCCACCGTGAAGCATGGCAGGGAGTTAAACAGGCAGGGAACTACACACATTTTTGAGAGGGTTAGTGTTCACCTGGATCGTATCCAAGATCTGGCTCCTGGTAAGACAGCCAGATTGCCACTGCCGGTGCAGAAGAGAGCAAGCATCCTGGGGCTGGACGGGAGAGGGGCAGGATCGCAGCAGCTCCCATGCAAACTCTTAGGTTATGGCACAACCTCACTGTTGGAAACTTTATGTCTTTTCTTGAAGCCTTTTCTTGAATGTGCACAGATGGCCCATCACAATCAGCGATAAATTTTACATGAATAAAACCTGAATGACAGCGTATTCAGGCAGATCAGATGTTGCAAGCAGCAGTCCAGGCAGAGCCTAATGTATAAGTACAGGATCTAGGACATGAAGCAACGTGGGCATGGGGGCTTGAGGGTGAACATTGTTTCCTAAAATGAGCCCTGAGGCTTCTAATGTTTAAGCGTCCCATAAGAGATATAGGAGATATTTAATTGTTAGTGCCATAAGTTTAGTTTTTCATTAACACACAACTTGGGAAGTTCATCAGGTCATGGTATTCGCTAGAGCGAATAGGCACGTCTCCACTGATGTCTGGAAGCAGCCTTAGCATCGTGAGCAGAACATCTGGCCTATAGGCTTTAAAGACTGTTTTGAACAGCTTTGCCACACAGTAAGCCCCTATAATACACACCTCTTTCCATGTCGTTCTTAATTTGCTCTTCCAAATCTTCTGGAGACACACAGAACTCCTGCTGTTCCCCTTCTGGTGCTTTGGGTTTACACTTTCCGCAGCAGCAGTTGAAGCAGCAGCAGAGGCAGCAGCAGAGGTAGCAGCCTGTCAGCAGGCCACAGACCGCCAACAGGCCCTGGGTTAAACACAGAGGAGGAAAAACCTGTCAGCAATGAACTTCCTCAGATTCGTGGCAGCCTCTTACAGCCGACGGCAGGTCATCAGAGGAACTCGGGTTCCCAAGTGCTTGGCACCCAGAGGGGTCCAGTCACCGGCCAAGCGCCTGAACAAGGGCCAGACCTTCCGAAGTCCTCCTCACCCACAAGCTCCTACTTGATACTCAGGACCACGTCCACAAACAAGACACCAACCAACAGGCCCCTGCGTGCTCAACTTTTGAAAGTCTGTCTTCAGCTGGCCCTCAGAAAAAACTTCCAGGCAGTAGGCAGAATCCCACCCACCTTAAAATGACTCATTTCCATCTTAAAAATGACTCATTTGCCCAAGATCGTTTTCGCAAACGCTTATTTGTTCTTGTCAATAACAAAGCCGAGAGAAAAAGAAGCAAAGACCCAGATGCATCCCACATTATCTTCAGGCACTGAACTAAGGCATCCAAATGAGGACTGTAGCTCCCCTGCGCTCCCCACAGAGTCAATGGGAAATTAAAAGCCCTTCCAGAGGGTGATTCAGCCCTGGGAGGATTTGAATTGCCTGTTGAAGGTGTCTCTCCCCACTAGCCTGTGCGGGAGCACACAGGTGACATCTCCTAAATTAGACTCCTTGGGCTGTGGTTTCTTGATCTGAGGACTCAGGTGGCAAGAAGTTCCCACCTGCATCGCCCTCTGCTCACTCCTGTCCCTGCGGCATAGAGCACGGAGGCTTCAGCAGAGCCAGCACAACTGCCTGGGGCTGAGACCAAAGATCTCAGCTTCAACAGCCAGACAACTTCAATTTACAGAGCTTTTCTTCCTCCAGATCAGGCGGCTGCCTGCGTTCACAGCACAGCTGCACAGCTGCTTGTGATGGTGGCTGCGTTGCAGCAATGGGATGGGGGGATCTGCAGGAGAGGAGCCCTTAGGCTGGCATTGCCACCCCATGCTCCATGGAGACGTGATGGCAACCTGGCTCCTGAGCCGGGGTGGGTCCAGACCTGCACCGAGATTTTTGCAGCAAAGGAGAAACCTCCACATCTCTTCATGGACATAGTGGTGTAAGAGCAAAGGAGAGCCAGTGACATTCCTGAAAAGTGAATCAAAGCTGATATGTGGAATGTGTATGTAAAGCCAGCACAGCTTTGTGGCCATCAGGTATATATGCATTGGAGGTATAGCAGGCTTTAGCATTACAGTTAAACAGTCTGCCCTTTACTAACTATTCGTTATATTCATAAGAAAAGATGCCGTTGAGGAATAAAGCAAGCACAAATGTCAGGATATTGTCAAACTTTGACAATGAAGCTATGTAAATAACTCTCAGTTATGTATGCACGTCTCCAGCAATGTTAGTGAGGGCCGACTGGAGCATCTCTGAAGGTAATAAGACTATTTACATGCCTGATATTAATGTAGGCGTGTATCAAGAGTGAGCAAGGTGGTTTTAAATGAAAAGAAGGACTCTGACTTTTTGTTTTAAAATGTTTTCCTTCCAACAGACACCCAAAACTGTTCTAAATGCTGTAACCCCTAAAATAAGTTATCTGACTGTTTATCATTTGTGCCACAATGGAGAATAAATCACCACAATGAACAGAATGAAAAAAAGTGTATAGAGGGAAAAAATACTTGAAATTATTCATGATACCTTAGATGTTTCAAGATTTCTTGTGCTTATATTATCACAGTTGGTAAATCAAGAATCACTTTAATGATGTGATCAATAAACTGTCTTCATGGTAGATGGAGAATTGCTTTTTGCTAAAACAGTTAAACGAACAACCCCAATGCCTGCCAGTGGAGAAGCAGTTAAAGTTCCCATTACCCATGTCAGTATGTTCCCAGTTTAATATGCTTGCAAAGAAGTCTGGCACTCAAAAAGAAAAGTAATCTTCACTTTGCATTTCTCATTTCATTTGAGTTTCCTTACTTCTAATGATACACCCCCTCACAATTGTTAGATTTTCTGAGTGTGCCAGGGAAGAGGATTTACCAGGAATGTTCATAGTTGAAGAGGAAGATAACGAGCAAAAGCTGTGGTCCCTACTGTCTTCTACCAGAATGGAGGAAATTAGGGGTCCAGAGGTCATCTGCAGATGATGCCTCAGACTCAAATAGTATTATGACAGCCAATATAAAAATCTGTACTGACCTGGCATTTGTGCGTGAGTTAAAAAATGTTGAGGAATAGTGAGCTCAACTTGCAAAAAAGCACTCGGTGGCCTGTTCATGCTTCGGAGGTGGCAAGATTTTGGGTTGGGGGAGAGATAGAGAGACTACCCGTGACAATCCTCAAATGAGTCTATATGCATATTTTGAATTTTTTGTACAGAATTCTTAAAAACCAGGAAGCAGTGATTACTTTTGCTGGGGTATTCAGCATATCTCGTTTCAGCTGTTAGGCACTTACTAACTTCTCTCTCTACTCTCCACTGCTCTCCTTATGAGTCAAAGCCACAGCCATTAGTTCTGTTCCTGATTTGCTAACCACAGAGGATTTTATACTTCATAAAATTTCCCTTAAAGATCAGTAAGCAGAAGAGGAAATAAAAGCTAAAAAAGCAGCAAACAGTGCAGAAAACCTTGTTTACCAAGATTGTTAAAGGAGTCCATACTGCTGCTCTCCCAGCTCTAAGGCAATGCTTCCCGGCACCTGAACTGTGACGGAGAGGCCAAAGGAGAAGGTGGACAGCAAAGAAAAGAGAGAATGATCCCGCAGGAGAAGACAGCAGCTGTGGTGGGATGTCCAGCCCGCAAGAGGAGTCAGCTACAGCAGCTGCAAGCAGGCAGCCTCCAGCCTGCTTCTGAGGGAGCAGCTGCACCTTTGCAAGTGTCTTTTATTCATTAGCTTCATTCACTCTTCTGCATTTGAGTAGTTTCCATCTCACCCTGATTCAGCAGACAAATTATGGCTTCTCAGACCCCCAACGTGTCCACGTGACTTCCCAGTTTGAAAGGGGACTGTGGGACAGTGAAGCACTGGCCTGGTCCGTGCTGAACGCAGGAATCTGAGTTCCCTGGTTCTCAGACCAAAGCTGTCCTAGCATGCTCGCTTCACACAGCACAGATCATTCCTATGTATTCCAGTAGAGTCCTTGCTTCCCTGTGCTTCTGGTGCTGGAAATCGGTGGGGACAGCATGGATTTTTTGACATTTACAATTGTGTTGGTTTGTTACATTTCTGTAACATTGCAATATTTGCAGAAACACTCGAATTTGACATATGCAAACATCACAGGATGCCCGTGCTATAAGAGAGAGTATGAACACAACTCCTTTAAGCCTAGAACAGCCCATGACCTGTTTTGCCTTGAGGAATATGCCAGTTTTTGATGTATCATTCTCTACCTTTCCTACTCTTTTCCTCCATTCCACCCTTCTCACCTTTTCTTCCACTCCCTTTCTCTCACCCCTCTCACCCCAGCCCATATGTGACACCATAATCACAGGGTTGTATATGTTATTATTGCTTACTTACGCTGTGTGCGATATATATAGCAAAGAACACAGCTAAATTTGTACTGTAATAACTTATTAACTGGTTGTCACTTAAGTGGGACTTCTCGTTGTTGAACAATGAGTCATTTTTATTTACTCATTACTGAAAAGAAAGTAAAAATTAACCTGGAGCACTAGAGTCAAATCTAATTAATGTCTGAAAGTGTTACAAAACAGGCACTCTATTTAACTCTTTACGAAGTAAAAAGAAAAAGAAAACATTCTGTATTAGCACTGTTCTGAACTTATGTTACGTTTTGCTACTGTTGATTTTCCAGATAATGTTGTTGTTTAATTAAGCTTTTAGTAGCAGTTTAGATTCAGATCCTACTATTTCTTAAGCTTGTAGAGAGACCATATTTTTCAGGGGGTTCCATGTGTATGTATTGTCTGTGTGCATTGTAACATTTGATTTCCAACAGAAAATAACAGCTTACCTTTGCCCACCAGCTTGAGAGCATGAAGTAGGTGTTAACATTTTCCTCACCAAACTGTTCTGCCACGTAGAGCCCTAATGATCCATACTTGTCATATATGTTTCGCTTGGACAGATCAGTCAGTGTTGCATGAGCATTGTTGATCTCTTTAAATTTTTCTGCAGCCTCTGGATTGTCCAGATTCTTGTCAGGATGATATTTCAGAGCCAGTTTTCTTAAACATGAAAAAAAAAAAAAAACAACACAGAAGGAAAATAAGTCATCTATCTATGTGCGTGTATACAGACACTTAGAAAACATTACAAAATATTTTAACAGAGATATAATCATTCTGAACAGTGTGTTCAGCCTTCTTTTTTCCAGCTCAAATGTACTCAGTGGAAGACAAGTGACACAAAGTGACTGAATATGAAAGTTTTGGTAAAAGAGGTATTCCTATCACATTGAGCATGAACTTTGTGTATTGATACCTAGTCAGCTACCATGTTAAAGGAGACAGTGATATATGCTGAAACCAGAGATTGCAGCATGGTAATAAATCATGGGCATTTGTTGCATTATGATTGCCAACTGATTTGCATCATTTAGCAGGTCTCAACAAAGATAAAGATTTTTGTAAAGGTTGTTTAAAACCATGATGATCACACTGCTTATCCCATCACCATTATCTTCTTTATAGCAAAGGAAATTCCATATTCGATTGCCTATTGATAGTAGCTATATTAAAATTTTGTACACAGTGTCTGTATTTTGCAGAAGCCCAGTGATGGTGGAAAAGACAGTTATGAGTTGCAAAAGACAGGAAACATCTTTCTGAAGCACAAAGTGGAAAAGCATAGTGAGTTAACCCCAGTTTCAAGTGCCTGTTTTTGGGCCTGATTCCCCACCGTAGCAGTTCTGACACAGTCCTTAAAGCAGTGGAAGCTGATTCTTAACTGGTTTGGGCTTTTTATGCTGGTGGGAAGCCTTTGCTAGAGCAGGGCTCAGTAATCCTTTTTCCCTGACTGTACTCAGCACTGTGGCATCCGAGGACAGGTACAGCTTGAAAGGACCAGTGTGGGGCTGTTGGCTCACGGACGGCGCTGGGGAGGCACAGCTTAGAGAAGAAAGGGTTTGCTTCCAACCATGTTGAAGCAGTGTGAGCTCACATGTACTTGCAAAACAAGCATAGATGGAAGTGCATCTTTTAAAAAACCACCACTCTCTTTGAAGAACTGGCAATAAGATTTTTCCAGGACATTTATTTAATGACTAGTGCTGACCTCTAGTGGCACCAAAAGTGATTCAGTAGTGGTTTCAGTATCGGGATTCTCACCTCAGTCAAGCGATGTTGCATTTTGTAAATACTCTCTCCAAGTGTTTCAAGAGCTAGCCATGAACATTATGCCCAAAAATATTGTTTGTGGAGTGAAGGCAGTGTGCCCACACTTCCTCTAACAAATTCATCCTCAGAGTGGAATCCTGCTTGACTTTCCACTGAAGTCCCTGTACAGGTTATTCCCCTCGTAAAATGTAACTGCTTTGCTTCTGATGACTTTCCTGCCGTGGAGAAATTCTGCCAATATCAAGACTGATATGAGCCTAGGAACAGCCTCTGCCAACTATCTCTTCATCTCCGTATGCTGTACTCAAGTCATCTTCTCGTAGAACATAAATAACTCCTTAAACATGTCTCTGACAGCACGGAGAGGTTCACGTTCAGTCATATTTAATATACTGTGCATGTGGTGCTTCAAACATAAGTTTTCAGTCATATTTAACATGTGGTACCTTAAACATAATAAGAGATGAAATAGGAGAACTGGAAAAACAAGCTAAGTCTTGCATGACTAATGACATTATGTGCCATCCAAGTATTTAAATAGTTTATGCAATCTATCCATTTTCAGAGCTGAAAACAAACCCCAGCAATTAGAATTAAAAAAAAATAAATGGTAGAGGTATTACTTTCAAAACCCAGGCGTGGTTGCAGTCATGGGACAATCAGTCTCCAGCCTTTCTAACTTTTTTAACAGATGTAAAGTCATCTTATGTCCTCGCCATATCCCCTACAATCTCATAAAAAATAAGAAATTGAATAAAATTCAGTTTTGAAAAGGTGAAAAAAATTAGTTGCACACTTGCTTTACTTAGTATTGTTTTAGAATAATAAAAGAATTACTTTCAACATACTACTGGCAAAAAAAGATGAGATATGTTCTTATTTTGATTTGAGTAAACTGTTGTCACTAACAATAATACATTAACTAAACAACTCCCTGCATAACAAGATGACATATCCTAATTAGAGATGATTTAATAAAGCAGAAGAGATCTATATACTCGTAGTGCAATTCTCATGAGAAAGGGCCGCCTTCATCATCTTGGGACCATTGACCACTGCAGACCTCCACAGCAGCAAGAAATGTTGGGAGAGAAAAGTGACAAGAAGCAGAGAAACAGAAATCATAAAAGATGGATAGCATGGAAATGAAGTCAGAGAAACACACTCAGCATCTCTGTCAGTGGAAGGCTTAGAGTGAGAGGTGAGATAAGGCCAGACATGCCAGTTTGCCGATGCCGCCAAGCTGTGTGGTGCGGTCGACA